TAAGTCTCTTCACACTCTATTTCTCTACTCATGATTATTTGACTCGAAAGGCCTGATAGAAGCAGGAGATCTTCAAGAAAGATTTAAGGGACAGCCCGGTCAGTTTGGTGTGTGCACTTGACGTATATAAAAGGAGCACATAGGAAGCAAAAATAGGCCGGTATGTGTGTTTGCTAGAAGGGATGGCTGACGGGGAACGGGGTTTTGACATGCGCTTGGCTTAATTGCTATGGATTTTGGAGAAATAATGCTGCTGAGAATAGGAAAGGCACAGTCTTTTGGTGAATACTTTTTCTTGAAAAGGAGATCTGCAGCTTTGTGCCTAAAAGTGCATTTTTTGCAGACTAAGGTAACAAATTTTTTGTCTTCTTTACAGAGAATGTATCAGTAACTGCTAAAAACATTAAAATATTGAATCGTAGAACTAGGTTATCATCTCTAATTAAAAATTTCTCATATTTCTGCAATGACCTAGGAAGAATTACAACTTCATGTTTTATTATATACTTCTAAAATATGTTAAAGATATAAAATYAGGTATGAGTTATAGAATTATTTTAAAAAGTCACAGTCTGCTATGGAACATGTTCCTATTTAATAAAATTGAAATTGACCTGGGAGTATATATTTAATTCTAGCTGATGGTATAATAATTTTGATTGTGTAAAACATGTCTTCATATAATGATGGATTGAAGAATCCAGGCAAGGTTAGTGAAATGTTGATGTGGCTGGTAAAGCAAAACTGTAGGGATGCGGATGCTCAAAGGCCAGGAGATTCTTTCAATCTCCACTAAAACACCCTAGGAGATTGAATAAATTTGTTGGCTGGATTATCATCAGTAATGTGACATCAAGTACTGTGGAATGAATAAGCCACTTCAGAACTTGATTTTGTTCAACAGTGAATATTTGAAATATTATGGATGTGCCATATGCTTTGGCTTTTCTAGTATGCCTCTATTATAATTCATCACTAACTCCTGCACGATAAAGGAAAATATATGAGTCTTTACCTCTTTTTGATTGAATCTGTCWTTTTCCACTCGGCATTCTGCAAATGTTGGTAGCATTATAAGTAGATTTATACTTGGTGTTAATTTATTGATGCAGTTGACTCTTTAGAAACTTTTTGACTGTGAATTGGTAAACAAACTGTCTTCCAAAGCAGTAGGGCATAAATTACAGTGGAAAATCATGAAAGACTAAGTGTCCATGCCAAGATTCTCGCACATGTATATTAATGACAACATTTTGCAAGTAATGTGGTTTGTGTTCTTTTATTTCCTTTAAAAGTAAATATAATGAAAGTCTGAGCTTCAGATTTTTTTTTTTTTTTGGATTTAAAATCTCTTCAGTGGTAAATAAATTACCAGTTTAAATTCTAGATCAATTATATTTACTGTGTGTTATAAGAGTCGTCATATTCCATTTCAATAAGAATTCCCCTTTGCTTCTCTGCCATTTGGCCTGAGCTGCAGGGGCCTTTTGCTCTTGGGTTTGTGTTAAGCTTTTGGCTCCCAGATGGAGCAAGGTGAGGTGCCACTCACCTTGCTGGGTGTTGTTACTGGGTGAGTCACTAGCCAACTTGGGGAGTGGTTGGTCTGTTCCTGATATTTCAGATATTGCCTCTGCTGTATAGTACTGTTGTCTTTTTGGGCCATGGTAGTTCGGTTTTATTGAATATGTGCAAAGGAAAAGCTCCTTGTCATGTTCCTTGTAGGTTTTAATACAGCTCTACCAAGTGTTGCTTTATTTTAAACAGCACAATCCCTTTAATGTGCCATTTTTCACAAATATCACTACAAAGCAGCATCATGCTCTTATTATTTATGCTTTTTCTGGGAAGTGGTGTAGCATCATCAAAAGTTATCTACTCTTCCTAAAGAAATTATTTATCAAAAAATCATCAGCCTCGTGAGAAGGGAAATTGTTAGCAATATACCAGAKCCAAAAGACAGGTCTAATAAAAACAGCCCTTATAAGTCACCTTCATTACGTTATATGGCTAGTAGGAAGACACGGGTCATGAATTTAAATGAATGCCAGGTACATTTTACACTCATGGTGTCTACATGAACGTTCCGTGTCTTGCCACRTAAGAAGACCTGAAACCATCCAACAACTGTAGAATTACTTAATTTATCCTGTTTTTTTAATGCASTACAGCCCTTTTCCCACAAAACAAATGAGTTCAAGGTGATGGTAGAACCCCCAACAGGCCTAGGATGTGCCYCTGTGCTCAGATTTGCGTGGTGCTCTAGGACATCCGTGCCTGCTTGGTCTCAGTATCAGCGGTGCGTGCCCAGGGTCACTAACCTACATCACTGTCCACGCGAGAGGTCCGTGACCTATTTCTCCTGTGTATAAAGATGAAAGAATATTTTTGAGTAAYGCTTCTCAGCAGAAGTTGTTACTGTAGAATTTAAAAGCTGCTTGTATTTCTTCCTTTCTTAAAGCAAAGGTATTTTGCAGTCTGGCACTATTTGACATGGGAATAGCGTGATTTGGCCTTTCTGTGTTAGCATCACTTGTGCGTGTGTTTATTTTTTTATTTTTTATTTTCCCCAGCAAGAGAAGCATGGAAATTACCAGCCACATCTCGCATCGCTTTGCTTTTGATCCGACACATTTGTACAACACTCATTAAGAACCATTAATTTTCAGTGGCCTATCACGACTTTCACATCAGCTCAATGTATAAGGTTTTACTAGAGAGATTGTCATTCAGCTGTCAACTGACTGAAGTTTGTTTATTTTTCCCAGGCTGTCGCTCATGCCAGCCTGGGCTGTCACACAATGCTTGCAGTTTGTCTGCTTTGCTACCATTTTATGCCCAGAAAATGCTTCAAAGGGCCATCATTTGGCCAGCTCCCCATGCTGCAGACCTGTAAGCAACGCCATCAGGAAGGAGTTGAAGCCGTGGGAGGATCTCAGTTCAAACCACCAGTAGTCAGAGTAGAGGGACTTGCAGGGGGCCTAAAACTGTTTGGCCAGAACTAGCTTCCCTTGAAGGATTACAAATAGTTAAATAAACATTTAAATGGACCCTTCCTTATAAATTCTCCTTTCTGGCACTCTTGTTTGCCTCTGAGAGGCATCCAGTTACTGCTTGATCTGAGTTCAAATGTTAATAATATCCAATAGACTTGATAGTGTTTTCTTTTTCCTTTAAATTGGTCTAGACTAGCTTTAGGGGTAGTAGGGTAACAGAAACTAAATTCCAGTTGAGCTAGATTCCAAGAAATTTTAGCTGTGTTTTGGTGAGCTCGCTCAGCATTCCCACTGAGCTGCCTACACCTAGCTTACCATTTTATAAAGAAAACTGTTCTAATTATTCAGTGGTACTTACTCTAAATCATATTGCAGTCAAAGAAATAAGCTTTCTAAGTGTGTATTTATATAAATAGTCTTTGTCCTAACATTTTAAGGGTAGGCTGGTGGCTTTTCCCAGTAGAGGCTGGTCACCAGAGCGGTGTGCTGAGGCCTGAGCTGTTGATCATGCACATGGAGGATGTGGACAATGGGGTGAATAGTGAAGGCAGCGAGCTGAGGATCTTTAGCTGCTTCAGGAGACCATTAGAGTAATAGATGATCGAATATCATCTGATCTTTTATTACTCGTAAGGGAAAAAGAGTCCTGATTTTATGTATATGGTAATGGATCATGAGCTGTTCCCACACAGAAAAGAGTGCAGCCAATTCTGTTAAAAATGTCAATTTAGCAGCAATTGAAAGAGCAAATCAAATGTTAGGAAGGGAATAGAGATCTTGGTGGGAATCATCATAATGCTACCCCACACATTCATAGTTGACTTGCAGCTTGAATACTTTGGGTTCATCTCTGTTGCTTCTCAGAAGTAGAAAGTGAAGTTAAATAAAGGCAGCAGGGATTATCAGAGTTAGGCCATGTAAGAAAGAGCCAAGTGAGATGAGGTTTTCAGACTGGGACATGGACATTGGACAGGAGGGAGAGGAGCAGCACAGATCCTTGCAGTTCAGGTGGGATAGGGAGAGTGAGCAGCGTTTGCACCTTCRATTCCAATGTTGGACATGAGGGTGTCACGTGGAACTGTCAGCAGGTGGCTCAAAAATGAGAAACCGCTTCATATAGAATGTGACATCCCTGGCTGCAGGAAATTCTGGGTGTTTGAAGTTTACATGAATTTACATAAATTCCTGGCAGAAGCTTTAACCCCAAATAACCCCAAATACAGAGGCTCAACCTCTGGCTGAGAATGGACCTGAGTCACTGGAGGTGTCCCAACATTTTGGGGAATATCTGTGTGTCCTTGAATTCAGCTGTGGAACTGTAGGCCACTGTCAGAGATGATTCTGGGATATGTGGGCATGTTGATTTGACCTTGTACGGCTTGTTGTGTTCATTTGATTTAGTTTGTGTATTGCCCAGTGTTAATCTGACTTCCCACGTCTCATCACCAGTGCCCAGGAATAAAAAAAAGGCAGATATGCTGCCTGTCTGGCAGATAAGCTCATTGAAATTTGTAGTGTATCCTTTAATTTCACTACATGTAGAAAAGCTTCCCTGTTGCTGCTGTGCTCTGCTTTCTAAGATGCAAATTAATGGCRAAAAAACCCAAAGGCAACCCAAACAAAAAGCGCCTAAAACAATCATCCCCCCACCTCTGCCCTTTGTATTTTTTTGGATCCTTTCATGTACAGGATAAWCTAAATTATGTAGACTATTCATTGCTACCGAGATAGAAGAGTTGCAATGTAGTATTTGATGGATGAATAGAGGAGGGAAAATAAATCGATGATACAGAATAATCAAAGTTTTAGTTTTAATAAGCAGAGACAAAACATAAAAGAAGGAAAACCTGACAGGAAATATGAAACTGTGCTTAACTCACCCCTGTGCTTCTGATTTTCTTTCAGTCCAGAAAGAATCTATTATCAAGTYGATGATGCATCTATTTTGTTGTGCTTAGAGAAGTGACACTCACTTATTACAGTGTGATTCTTTCTTTTCTCTTGTAGGTTAACAGAACCCTCTGGATATTTAACAGATGGACCAATAAATTATAAATATAAAACTAAATGTACATGGTTAATTGAAGGATAGTAAGTATTTATGCTTGTAGCTTAAATTACCTGGTAGCTTTTTGGTGTTTATTTTAGATGTCTGATGAACTGACTTGACTTAATAACTCTGAAGGTAGGTAGCTYTTTGCCACTGCTCACGCACTGAAGCACTTCCAAGAGGAAAATCCCTAGAATATGATAGACTGGAAGCAAACAAATTGCATATTCTAGCTATGGGATGCTGTTAACCGTGTGTGTYCCTAAGGGAATAGGGAAGAGTAGAGGCCAGTTGTGGAGGAATGAGTGGCAGCAGTGCTGTCCTTCACCAGCACCCCCTTGCTGCTTTCTTCCTGAGGTCTGTAGATTGTAAATTGCTAAATTCGACCCAAAGAGAAGTCATCTGGTTTTGTTTTGCTAGCAAGTCATTTGTTCGTCCGTGCTGCAAAACTGTGCCATGAAACCAAAACAAGCATGCAAAAGCACATCTTGAAATCAATTCACGAGTGTTTTCTTGCTTAAATAGTAGTATGGGCTTTGGAGTTGGGGGAGAAAAGAAAAAAATGAGCTCTTGTATTTCCTCACTAATATTGTAGGCTGTTTTAAACTTTTCAGGAATTCTTATTTTCTTCTCAGCCACTAGCACAATGTTAGAATAATGATTTGCAGGTGACTGTTTTCTGTTTGATAGCACCTTTAAAAGCGGCAGTTTTGACAAATGACAGTAAAAGTAATATAAATATGATATTGAAATAGGGCATTTTAATGTCTTTAAAATTGTGGGTGTGAACAGTGCTAAAACCTTGGAAATTAACAAATCCCTTGTTAATGCTAAGGATTATTAATTAGTCTTTGGCTGTAACTGTKATTTTTAAAATATTTTGAAATAAAATACAAATTTGCTTGTCCTGAGTCTTGTTACTTAWATCTGTGTTTTATTAGTGCTTAAAGTACTTTATTAAAGTTATATGTCATGATATATTTTAAATTCTGTACATTATGACCCAATAATTCTGCTAAGTAATGTTTTACATCAGTCTTCTTGTTTTATTTTTCAGTCCTAATGCAATATTAAGATTAAGATTTAATCACTTTGCGACGGAATGTAGTTGGGACCATATGTATGTATATGATGGAGATTCAATATATGCACCTTTAATAGCTGTATTTAGGTGAGTATATATATAATGTATGTTACCAGTAGTCATGTATTTTTGGTTTGAAGGGAAAGAATGACATCAGAGATTTTTCTTTATTAGGTAGTTTATATTCTTTTATTAATAGCAAGGGGATGCTCATGCAAGTTTGTGTTAGAAAAAGTTGCTGAATTTTCGGATAGCTAGTGATTTTCATTAGGTGATCACATTAAATCTCTTATGTGGCTAGTGATTAATGCTGACATGGCATGGAGAATTAATGCTCGTAGATATGAAGTGTGAAATTTATTTCCCAGTAGACTTTTAGTATTGACTGTTAAGTTTTAATGTCTGTGAAATAGGGCCTGGTCAATAAAGTCAGTAAATTATCCTATTTAAGAGAAAATCACGATTTTGCAACTCATGCACTAAAGATACTACACTATGTGTAAGCTATAAAGAATAGCTACTAAATGACTTCTAAATTTATGGGAGGGGGGGGGAAGCAGCTTGTTGAGGGCATCTGAAATAACCTTTATCTTAAACATGAACTTGGAACATATATTCTTAAATTGCTAGACTGGATTTTGTGACTAAATCTCAGTGGGTCATACTCAGCTTTATCATGCTGAAGCGGCGAGCTCTAATTTGCCATGTATTGAAATCATGCAAGTTCTTTGCTTGTAATATTAACATTAGGTTATGAGAATTGTTACCTAGCTAGATCTTTTATTTAAATTAATATTTGCACTTAATATTAACTGAATATTAAGCACTTAATTGCATAAGCCCAGAGGATTTTTTTTTCCCCCAAAACTTAAAATAATTCACTTGGAAAAAATACATTGTCAGCACATGTGCTTTCAGTGTGCTGTAACATGCAGTCTCGTTACTGGCTGATTTCTGTCCTGTTCCCCTTCTGCCCTGTTCCTTCTTGGAAAGCCCGAACTTCCCTTGCAGAAGTGTCAACAAAGTTTTACAAACAYTGTACTATTTTTAAAGGAAGTTCTTCATAAGATTTCTGAATTATGTTTTCTGTATAATAATCTGAGTGCATGAGTACTTAATTTTCTTTTTTTTTTTCTTCCCAAGAGTGATTAAAAAAATTCTCATTTTTCTTTTCCAGTGGCCTAATAGTCCCTGAAGTGCGTGGAAATGAAACGGTTCCTGAAGTAGTTACGACGTCAGGCTATGCATTGCTACACTTTTTTAGTGATGCTGCTTATAACTTAACTGGATTTAACATTTTTTATTCGTAAGTATTTTCTAAAAAGAATTTACTTTGTTATCCTATGATTCCCTGAAGGAGAATTGCAAGCCTAAATRAAGTATTAATAATGTCAAGAAATTATGGTAAGTTTTTAAAATTAGGGGGGTAGMATTTGTAATGAATTCTTGTAGGTATAGGGGCTTAAAGATAAAGTACTTTTTTTTCCCTCTTATCCCTSAGTCAATCCACATGAGTGTCCTGAGAGTATAAATGTACCCTGCCACATTAGCACTGGGAAGTTCTCCCTTTCCAAAATTTCCCTATCCATAGTTTTCCCTATCCAAAATATATCTAATGTACATATTTGTTATTATAGAATCTGCCATCATCTCAGCTCCCTTCCAAGCAGCAGACTACTAGTTAAAGGGTTTTCCTTGCTGAATGTATCTTTATGGCTTTCACCAAAGTCTTCCTTTTATTCTTGCACCAGCAGCAACAGTTGTATCCCATCTTCTTTTCTGTATTTCAAGCACATCCCTCTCTCTTGCCCCWCTCAGTCTACATTCAGTTTTTATCTCGACTGTTCTTTTAGTTTCTTTGATGACAAACTTTAATCTGGTGTAACTATGCTTGCTTTCTTTGAGTCAGCAGCCCCAGAGATGCATCCAGCAGACTTGTACCTCCTCCTCCTCCCCCCTTTATGTACCATCTGTTTATTCCAACTTCTGCCTCACTTACACAATTTGCCAAATCATTTCCAAAGGGTCTCCTCACAGTAGGTGCTTTGGTTCAGGAGAGAATTCTGTGGTCCTGTGGCTTTCTTCTTTTGTCCATAATTACAGATTTTCTTATTCCATTTTTTTGAGAATCTGAGATTCAAAAAAATAGATTCTGAAATACTCATTTCTGAGACATGGTAGCCAGCACTACCATTCATATATGGCATGACATAAAATATTTTGTATCRCATTCTGTATTAATTTAAAATACTTGCCTTTTTGGTCATAGCTTTGGTCATAGCATCTCCATCACCATAAATATTATTTCTTTTGACTTGACATCAGTAAAATATAATCAGCTGGCAACTTATCTCCTCTGTAGTTAGATACATTCTTCAGTTATTCCTGAAGCTTTTATTGCACTTTTTTTGTTGTTTTTCTTGGGAGAAAATGGCAATATGACATAGCATTCTTAAGGAATGAGTGTGTGTATTCTACATTCTTTTAGTACTTGGTAATGTGGTGTGTGCTTTCTGTAATTATATTATTATTCTGGAAGATTTAAAATAACAGGGAAAATCTGCCAATTTTTAATCCTTTACATATGTAGGGAAATATATCTTATGAAATCAGATTTTCTCTATTTTTCCACTTCTAATGTTGTAGTAAACACTTGAAAAACTGTTTTTAATGAGGCAAAGGAGGCAAGGTTAAGCTGGCTCTGTTACTGAGGGCTTTGAGGAGTAAGTGCCATCTTTAGTTAGAGGATGTCAGCTATCTTGTATACTTTCTCTCTATTTTTTTTTTTTTTCTCCCTGGATATTAGAAAGCTAGTGGCCAAAGCCACTCTGAAAAACCCCTTAGCCCCTGTGTATGATAGAGACTGAAGAGACTGGAAATCTTAACGCAGGTTTTCTCACTGTGTGACTGGTTGTGAACTGTGCAGCAGTTGACAATGCAGGCAACCTCCTGAGTACTGAGCTTTGTTCTCAGGAGTTGCCACTTGAATCCTCATTCACACTTTCAAGTTACTTTGGAAGCCCATTAATCATCTACTTTTGGAAAAGTACCTTTATTCACTTGGGTTTCCAAGATCTTCCTCTGGGTAAGTAAGTGGTATTCATGAGAGCTATTGCTCGAAGTCGCTTCCATTGTAAATGTACGTTTGAAGGGAYGGATTTGAGATTACTACATGAGAACTCTCAGAAAATTAGGTTGAGATGTCACCTAAGATCTTGCCTGTCCCTCTCCTAACTCTCAATATCTCTTGTAGTGGATGTTTCTTATACTGACCACAGCACAGACTTCGTGTGTAAGGCTGGCTGAGCTCCTCTTCATCTCAGTTGTCTCTACAGTGGTGACTGAACATTAATTTTAATAACATTTTAGAAAATTTTCAGGAGAAGGTGCTTTATCTAGCAAGTGCTTTTGAAATAATGTCAGATAAAACACTCATCATTTCTTAACTTATTTGCCTTTTTATGTGTATTTTTGCAGAATTAATTCTTGTCCTAATAACTGCTCGGAACATGGGAAGTGTACAACCAGTGTGTCTGCTCCAAGCCGAGTATACTGTGAGTGTGACAAATACTGGAAGGGAGAAGCCTGTGATATTCCGTATTGCAAAGCCAACTGTGGTAGCCCAGATCATGGATACTGTGATTTGACAGGCGAGAAGCTGTGTGTTTGCAATGATAGCTGGCAAGGTAAGGTTTTTTAATTATTACTTGTGTTTTGTTGAATCGTAGTCATAATTCTTTATTTTTTTAGCTTTTAAATTAATGTTGTTAAAAAGTAAACAAATGAAAAAACATACTTTCAGAAACACATTTTCATGTGGACCCCAACATGTGTCACTTTATGCAATAAAGATCTAACAGCTTTGCATTCCATTTGCCAATACTGTAGAAGTATCGGGTCTAATGGCTTTGTGAAGGACGTTATTTTTGTATCATTAATTTGAAGTGTGATGGCAATAATTGCACAAAAATTAAAAGCATGCCAAGCACTTCCAAAGACCGAGCTCTTTCAGGCTATTTTTTTTATTTTAATTTCTAGGTAATTTGATTTCCCTCCCCTTCTTCTTAATGTCAAATCAGCACTTAGTGGTGCTTCATGAAAGAAATACTCACTGTCTGGCTTTGTTATTTTGTTGTCTGTGATTAGCCTCTCGGTGAAAGGGGAAGGTAAGCAGTCTCCTATTATGAAGATACAGGCATGTGTATGTGCACAATATTGGGGGATAAGGAAAGTGCTGTGCTGTAAGAATGTCTGCTGGAGTTAGTTATATTCCCAGTAACTTTTTTGAACCTATACCATACATATGATATGCCCTCTTCCAAATCCTTTCTCCCTCTTTTTATTGCTCTTTATTTTTAAGTGTCAAAAGACCTTTTTTTTACTTATATTAGCTGTCAGACCTGTTATACTCAAGAGGGTGAGATTTAATACATTTCTTTTATTAATAACTTAAGAAATTGCTCCTTAAATGACAGTCCACCCATAGAAATATAGTGGGTGAAATGGCTTGGTGAAGGAAACAGTGTTTTGGTGGGCATCCTACTGAGTCCTTAAAACTATCATGCAAGAGAAACTAGAAAAAAACCTCAAGTCTCTTGAATGATTTTTAAGATAAATTTTTGCCATAGCCTTGAGTGGAACTTCTGAGTGGGAAAAAAATCCCCTTTCACTGTTAATACCTTCTTTTAATCTGGCATTTCTGCACTTCCTATTCTTTCCTATAATAATTTTTTTTTTTTTTTTGCGAGAGAGAATATGATGATTTATTTCCTTATTTTTTTCCCAAATCCACATAACCTTCACTTAATTTATTCTTTATTCTATACCAGATGACCCAGTTTGGATGCATAGTTCATTGAAAACCAAAACCAACCAAAGCCACATAAAACCCTCAAACCCATAAAGCTTTCAGACTTTCCAGGTCCTGTGGGAGGCTACTTGCCACAGTGGGTTGTTATTATTTTAGATTTAAATGTTCTTTACAGCTTTTAAACATCTGTCTCTAATTCTACCTGTTTGAAAGTGTTTTTATGTGTTTTTTTTTTTTCCCCACTTTTTTAAAGCGGACCGTGTAGGTTAAAATGTTAATATAAGATGCTGCAGAACATAAAAAGTGCATTTCATAATTGTACTTTCAAATATTTTTACAATGGTGACATCTTGTGGAGACTTGGGAAGGAACAACCCAGTTAAGGAAAATCTCTCACCAGAACAAGTAGCCGGAGAAAAGAGAACAGGGTATTATTTGGAATTGAATAATGGTTTGGAGTAGTAGATCACTATTAGTATCTAGCTTATTATATGTGGTATATTTTATGAAACAAGGAAATTATAGCTGTAAAAACTGACAGTTAAATATTTAGACTTCAAAATCATTTATTTGGTATAATACTGTCATATTTTTACACATTTTAAGAGTTAAGTGCACCATCTTAACAAAAGATGAAAGTGTTACCATTATCGATGTGTTGTGTGTATATATATCTGTGAGTGTGTGTGTGTGTGTGTGTATAGTTAAGGTTACAGATCTCTTTGTTGGAGATATTCTTCGTTTCTTCAAGGAGCGTGACTTCCTACTACCTGAAGGGAATAACTAGCCTGTCACACACTAAATGGATTAAAAACTCTTTCACTGAAAGATCTCAAAATACAGCTGCCTATAGAATACRCAATAAACCATTTATTAGTTCCAGTGACCAGCTTTTGTCCAGCATTAACTCGTATTTTTATGAAATACCTTAATACATAAATCTAGTGATAAAAATTTTCAGGTGTCATGAAGATTTACTGTGCAATAAATGAAAAGACAGTTTCATTTTAGAGAGATATAAATCACCCAGATCAATAATCATATTTTAAGTTATATTAAGTTGTATTAATAGTGCCCAATCTATTTCATTGAAGAGCAAGGACTTCAGGCTGAATGGCAGAATGTCAGGCTGGTTTAGAGAGCAGAGATTGCTCAAAGATTTGCCTAGCTTTTGGTCTAGCTATTGGGTTTAGCATGAGTTTCTAGCAGAGGTCTGAAACTGGAGTGACTCTGAAGTGGTATATAAATGTGCATGCGTATTTGAATGTGGCAAGGTAGAGTATGCAAGCCCTTAATTCTACAAAGGAGCCAATGCAGCACTGTATTCTGGATAGAAAAAGGGGATAAGTAGTGCTCATCTCTGATAAGGGAGGCTGCTAAATTTAGCTAATTATCTGTACTACAAAAAATGGAGGAAGAGAGATTCAGGAAAGTAAAAAATGATTCAGGCAGCTCAACACTCATTAGCTTGATTTCAGCAGAATGTAATACTCCAGACTGTGATTGAAAGAGAGAAATAATTAAACATATGGTATAACTGAATAGTAGAAAAAGACCCAAAATATGGATTTATCAACACAGTTCATATTAAAATATTTTGTAAGTAAACTGTCAAGAAAATTTGCTGTGAATTTCTATTTGAATATAGGGAATTAGTAGAACTGCAGAAATCTGGGAATAAATAAAGGAATAGTAAGGAGGAACATCTGGTAAAGTGTCAGTGGGAGTGCTCAGTAAGTAACTCTTAAGATGGGAAAACATAAGATCTTGACCAATAGTATCCTATATTATATTCTAAAACTTTTATAATGTACATAGAAGACTGAGCTAATGAAAACTAGTGAGATAAGTTGTGTTCTTTCCAATATAAAGCAGGATCAGAATATCCTATTAAAAAATAAAATGAAAATTGGGATAACGTGTATAGGATACATTAATATGAATATTTTTTTCCCATAAATGTATGATTTAATATTGAGTTATGGAAGATGACTTTGAGAAGATTTGCTTATGTATCAATTAGAATATAAGCTAGTCCATATTTTTGTTTTCACATAATCTATGAACTATAAACTCTAGAATGTCAATAGCTCTAGTAAGATGATCAGTCACAGTATCTTCAGTTAAATACAGGAAAATAGAAGTAGTGAATTTCATTTTAATTAATATATTTTATGGATCCAAATTGAAACAGATGTAGAAGTGAATTGTTTGGATGATATGTAGAAGATGTTAGCAGAACACAACTTTTTTAAGATGGTGAAGTGAGGGTTGTAAGGATATGACTACTCTTTTTAAGTCTTTGTCAAATATGTATACTTGAAAGAAAGATGAACTACTTGAAAGGGTGTTAGAACCAGTAAAAGCACAATTGGGAGTAAACTGGTCATCAATACATTTAGTTGGAATGTCGGAGGGAGTTTAGAGCTGTGAAGTTCTATAAAAGCGGTAGAAATATCAGAGCTTCATATGCCACAAGTAGGGAGCCTAGAAACTACCCATGTTCCTCTGGGGAAACCCAAGCCTTATTCTTCCCTAGTGTCCAGGTTGCTCTTCAGTTTGAATCTCGCAATTCAGCAGAGTTAAGTGGTGGTGGCCAGAAGCCGCCCCTGGGTGGTCAGGGCGGCCCTTCTGGCTTTTGCAGGCCCAGACTTGCCCTGCAGCTTCACCAAGGCCAGACCAGCCTTGAATGATCCGCTCTTTTTGTGTGAGGAAGGAAATGGGACTGAGTAATTGTGACCAGATGGCACGTAATGCACACAAGATGATGTAATTCTTTGAAATTTCTGTGTATTGGAGGAAGCAGAGTCCTGTCCCTGCTTGTTATGGTGCTGCATTAGCTGGGCACCCATTTGGGTCTCCCTGGCTGTCATTAAGTCTCCTCAGAGCAAGCTCGTTTGCAGGGAGGAGGGAAATACTCACATCCTTTTTGGATATTGGAAAGGTCTCCTGGCAGAGTGTGGAGAGACCCACTATTAGAATGCTGGAAATCCATAAGTCTTGAAAGATAGTCTGTCCCAATTTTTTATGTGCTATGCAGCATTTTGTTTTTTATAAGGTTACCAACCTGCCACTTAGAGAAAGATGATTTATTAGTTGATAAAATTTACAGAAAAAAAAACTAATGGAAGTGTTTTCAAATGCATTATCTCTTCTCAAAAATATTTTTCACTATCTAAAATTCTTCATCATATGAAGATTTTACTGGCAAGTTTGGAACAACAATATATATTTGTGTTTGTAATAGTTGAAAAATTATGCTAAGCTAATAATTTCTACCTGAAATGCAAAGATGACAAACAAATATAGAATACGTAATAACAACAGATCCTTTATTTGAATACATGGATTAGACTGTATGAAAAAGTTTGTATTCAGCACATCAATACTCATACTTTTTTCCCTGTGGTCCCTGAGGAAAAGATTAAGGTTGAAGACAATAGATGATGTTTTCTCATTAGGTGGAAATTGATCTCATGACTTGAGCTACGGGAACAGATTGTTACTTTGGCAGTTCATGAAACTCCTCAGTAAATAGAAATTAGATTCCTTCTCTAGTGTTGTATGAGTAAATTGCTATTTTAAACCTATAGAATTTATTTCTACCTTTGAGTATAACGTAATTGATTTCCAATTCAGGTTTATAAAGTTGATGACTTTTTTAAAACCTCTTCTTTTTGTGTGGATTGAGTGATGCATTAGGAAGATAAGAAAGAAACATGTTTTAAATGGAGAAAAATATTTGCATAGGAAATAACACGTTTTTGTTATCTTTGTTCTTCAGCTATTGTGCTGCCTTTTACATAAAAGGCATGTAGTTAGGTGTTTTTTTCTTTTTTTTTGAAAAGAAAATCTTTATGCTGAAATAATGGTGAT